GGATAGTGATGATGTTGAATTCATGCACATTTTTTCTTATTATAACTGTGTTCGTACTCAAAGGTGAACTCGGTGATACTATGTCGCGTTGTGTGCGAGATGACGAAAATGCAGTCTCTAAAGGATATATCCAACATGAGGTAAGAGGCCCGATAAAATTCATTTGACACGTTATTATATTTTAATATCTCAATACTCTGTTACGACTTTCAGACTTAATTTGAAATAACCTGTTATTCGTTTCATTACATTTCTGTTTTCTTTCATTTGTTTGTTTGTTTATTTATTTTTTGTTTAACAGCAATGTTTTTGCGTGTTTCTTTTTTCCTTCTGCGTAATTTAAAAGTTACAAAAATTCCTCAAAATATTCGAATTTCTTATCCTTGTTGTTTCACGCTTTTCATTCTAACCATGTCTGTCCATCCATGACGTTATAAGTTTCTCCACGTAGTTCTATGTTATAATGTCTAACACGTGACTTTCCTTCTTTTAGGCAGGGCCTGAGAGCATGCGTAGTTTTGCTTCCTCTTCTGGGACTGACTTGGGTGTTTGGTATTCTAAGCGTCACGGATGCTGGACTCGTATTTCAGTACATCTTTACAATCCTTAACTCATTACAGGTAAAAAAGACGTTTCTCAGTCGAATGTGTTCAAGGATACGGCGCAAATAGGAGCATTAAAGAAAGGTCTCTCCCTTTCCTTTCCTTGAATTCATAGATAAAAAATAGCTTTAATTTAAGCGGTCTCCGGCCAAAATACATTGTAGATAGTGAAAGAGACTCTTTCGCAAATGGCTTTTAAGACCAAGTTGCACGGTAAGGTCGCGTACGATTTCTTGACTTCAAACAAACATAAGGCGTTAATGAGTTATTTGGGTTGGGCTGATAAAATGCGGTTTGTTAACCAGCATGAGCAGCTTAACTCTGTTTTTGTGACCGACGAACGGACTCCGGCAGGAGCAAAGCTAGATTTAAAATTGATATAAAAGGATAAGATACCACGCATAATTTTCAAGAGTCAGCTACAAACCAACAAAAAGGTGTGCTTGAGCGTTTGCTTGCAGTGATCTTTAATTTTGTTTTTGATGGTTTATTGTTTGTTTGTTGTTTTTCTTGTATACCATCGCCCATATTTACCTGATTGAGAATCAACCTCTATATTAATATTAGTTTTTACACAAAATTCACCAGTTGTCTATCGTTTTGCACATTATTTTTGCACAACTGTTATTGTCTTTATTGATTTGCTGTAGGGATTCTTCATTTTTGTCATTCATGTTCTACGAAGTAATGAATTCCGAGCAGCATATCTTCGAAAAAAGCAAAAATGGCAAACAAGGAACAGCAGCCTTCCAAATTCTCGCTCAGCTAGAGACGCCTCATCCGTCTTTTCAGAAGGACATGGCATGAGCACAGTCCAAGGCACAACAGGGAGTCCCGACCCACTGTTTAGACGTCATCAGGTGTCACCAATGAGCTCGGATATTACAAAGACTAGAGAAAGCTGCCTCACGCCAGTTGCAATTGATTAACAGAGAACGTTACATCGGGCCAATTAAGATAAAATAGCCCGTAACAAAATAATCCGATATTGTTAACAATAACAATAAGAAGAAGAATTATAGTATATTTACCCACTTAACACTAAGGAGCGTACAGAAACTTGTTTAAACATGTATGTGCCTAAAAACTCTTGATGTTTACAAACAACAAAACAATAAAACTATAACAGTAATACTACTACGAATTAACTAACCTCTCCCAAACGTGTTAAACTCTGTATGTACTGCTACATTAAATCGTAACTTATACAACTAAGAATATTAGAGCATATGATTCTGCATCGATAACTGCATCGACCATGCTAGCTCAACTGAGCTTTAGTTTTCCCGTCTGTAGTGTGTTTGCATGTAAAAATTTAATGAATTTAAATAGAAAAAAAATAAGAACATGAATAAACAAGAAAAAGGCGCTGATTGTAGTGTGCATTGTTTTTGGGCGTTAGACATGCTGAGCACGTAAGAAAGGAGGTTTTGTCGGAACCTCCATGTGCGATCACCCATCTAAAACCCCAAACTTTCCCTGTAAGAGTCTCACAGCTGCAATCTGTAGTAAACAACCACCTCTAATAAGCGGCCGCGACAGCTTGTAATGTCTGAAGTTTAATTTCCCATTGTTTTTAACCTCCTGAAACTGAGCGACCACCTGACGGATGGTAAGCTTTCTTTGCTCGCTGTATTTTACTACACAACTCAGAGTTGACGAGGAAATATTACCGACATTAAACTACAGTTGTAAATTCTCTACCAAAAACTAGATGTGTCGGAAGAGTTCTTCTTTTGTTCGATTCTCGTAAGCAACCAACCCCCGTAATTGCATGAACACAAAATGTTCTCTAATATGGATGTTCGATTGTACTCTTAACAATATGCTTTACAATTTCAAAAACTTTAACACATGAAAATAGACTACCATTTTATTCTCGATTTGCATGGCACACCAGAAATGTAGTAAATTGTCCTCCCAATTCTGTTTAAGTCATTACTTGGCACCTTTATCCATGCACAGAATGCCCCTGAAGAGTTATGAAGAAGATATCAAGCAAGTTTCATCAGCGAGCACTAAAAAAAAAAAAATTATACTTATTTATTTATTTCTTTTTAAACTGAGTAAAGTTTTCAAGTCCTGCCATTTCTGCCATCCTTTGCAACAGACAACAGGTAGTTTCAATGCCTAAGTTAAGTCTTAAATAACAATACTGGGTCATGCATCAATTTTGGAATGTAACTGATATGAAAAACGTTTTAGCCTTAAAAAAAAGATAACAAATAGCGTGAAAACAGCCTGAGACGAACGCTGGCTACATAATATGTGCCACGCATGCGTTACAGCAACATCACCCGCAACAATATATTTATTTCGTTTACAATGGGCACAGAAGCGCAATCAAGCGTAAAAAAATCAATAACTGACGAACCTCACGCAGACTCTGTATTGATCGAGAGCATAGATCAACTCAGGATTTACGATGCGTTTGTTTTGTTTACCTGTAAAACTCTAGAACTCAACACTCACTGGCAAGTATCAAATTCACCTTAGTTTAGCTCTACAATGCAGATGTTTTGTTATTACCAGGGCACAGTATAGCAAAATTAAACTAAGAAAGCCTAAGTAACCATCCCCACTGTAATTATTACTTCACATGCTGTTTACCCGGAAAGGAACACGCCGTTAATTAGTACAGTGCAATTAGTATTTCAGCGAAAGGTTGGCTGCGTTTCTATGGCAACCTTAGTCTTTCGAGGTCAAATTTTAGGTAGTTTAAAGCTACAGTTAGAGATCTAATCAGTCGTGTGTACCAAAATAAGTTCAAATACGAGTTTCAGATTTAATAAATGCTACCACCTTTTAGCGTGTGGCAAATACTAGAACATGTTGTGTGTTCAGCTGAAACTACTACTGACACAAATCATCTAGTACCATCGCAAAGCAATCATTCCTAGTATGTTAATTTGGAATTTGAATTTTAATTGAATTCACTTGTTAAACAAAAATGTATCAGCCCTACACGGTTGAATAAATATGGTTCTTAAATTGTCCTAGAAGTTCATTTACATGTCTTGGAAAAAAATAACACATTTCCGTTACAACAAGGAGGAAAAAAGGCACGAGTAAGACGACACGCAAAGGAGACGCTTGGGATGATTCTGAATAGAAATTTGGCGTTATCATTGGCAATCTAAACAGAAACTAGTGACGCGTTGACGCTTTTGCCTCTAGTCCAGCTTTAACATGACATGAAACCCGGCCAGAAACTTAAAACTTAAACTGCTGAAAGGAACTGTCCATCCAATAGTATCATGAAGTGTCTACAACTTCGTTACCTGCTTGGCTGTCATTCTCTGTTTCAATTTTGTATTTTCTTCTTTGGTAAGTAGTGTTACAAAACTGCTACCTGAAAGTCTGTTTTGTGTTCAACTTGAGTCAGCCGTAATTCCCTGCAGTGATCGAGTTTGATTTTTGATACCAACAGTGTTTGCATTTGTCAAAAAGGAGTAAACAATTAACGTATTTTCCGGTAGCGTAAGTTAATGAAAATAAGGATTCGCACAGTTCTTGTTTCACCCGAGCCACGTAAATAATTATGTTTTACTGAACTATATCCAGCGATAACAATTATGGCGCTCTACATGTTGCCAGTATGCATATTAGTGTGAGATGGTTATGGCCAGAATGGAGCGGAGTATAACTGCGTTCAGCAATGGTCCAAAAAAACGATGGGTCCGATTTTATATAAAAGCCAATTCATAGGTCTCACCTTCCAAGTCGGTAATGCTTTGATTACGTTTATTTTAATTATAACTGATAACCAAATCAGTAAGAGTGCAAGACAAATCTCGTTGTATAATCAAAAACTCCCTTTCTCAAGACACGGCAAACCTTTTTTTTGTTAAAGAAATGGTGGGAGAATTTCGCAATCCGACGAAATTAGAGTCTTCGATGCTTTATCTTTTTGGATAGATAACTGCGATGTTAAGAACAACGAAATAAAGAGGTGTAAGGAAGGAAGGAGAGATTATATTCGCTCGAGCGGTGATGAGATTGTTAAGAACTGAATTGTGTTGTATTAGGCTTGCAAATGAACTTCAGTCCTGTTCAAAAACAAAAAGGAAAGAAATAAAGAATTATCGATGTTATATTAACGATATACCCCGTTTTGATCATTTGCACGGAATGAGCTTAGTATCGTCAAAAGTTAGTGGCATGATTCTAGATATCGATGTTGCTCTCAAAGCACATAATTTCTTATTGTAAATTTTCTCTTATCAATTTTAATCTCTAGCTAAAGTCAGGCCGACCTAGCCAGGTTATTAAAGTGTAAATTAATCAAAGAGAAAAACCTGCCAAATCAATAACGCTACTGTCTACAGAACTAGCTCAGGTGATTTATAGCTACATGTATGGCTTATTACAATTTGTTTTCATTTTGAGCGGCGGAACTTATCAGTTCAAAAAATTTAGCGTAGATCGGAACAAATCTTTTACACAAGCTTTCACCTTAATGAACGTCTTTAGATAAATAAAAAATCAGTACCAAATCATGTAATAATAAATCAATGACGTAGACGGAATCTAGAAGATAGTGGCTTTTGATGTACTTTAACAACCTAGGGAGCAATACAAAAAACTTAACAATAAACTCTTGCGGTATCTAGCCTTAACCTAGAAATTACTTGACATTATTTCTTTTTCTTTGTTTTCTTCGTCAATAAAATTTCTGTTGAGTAACTAGGAACAATTCCTATTGACCTATTAGAGTCTTGGTGCTGTTACTCTTTGCCGACCTACCAGCCAAGTAGTGACAAATGTAAAGGAAACCAGCTGAACAGTAAGTGTAAGGATGTGGGAGAAAACGGGGTGGCACGGATTACTGACTCAGCAAGTCTTGAGAGGGTGAAAAACATCATTTCTGACAGCGAAGAGTATTGGACTAGACTAAGGTGAGAATGACCAAGTATTTGCCGGTGCAAATTAAAATTCAACTAATCTTGCAACTGTTATTAATTACGATAACCTAGCGGCGGACAACGTTCAAGACGGGGGGGATCCCATGTCGCTCGTCTGAACAGTTTTAAAACGTCTCGCTCGTGTGCGTGTCTATAAATGCTTCACGTCACTGTCGGAAATTGAACGAAAATTCCTTATCTTCGTCGGAATTTTAGAGAAGGGCGATGGCGATGCGTTGTAAAGAAACCATTACAGTTCTGCAATTTCTCAGTTAACGTTTTGCGTATCGAACACCTATATATCGCCATTCACAATTAACACAATTCACAGGAGCCGGTCCACTGAAGCTCACTAACAAGAGACGTTGTCTGAAGCGCAAGGAAATTTGACGAAAATTACTCCTTCTTGGTATTCAGACTGGTGATAAATTAGCCAAACCAACGTTCTTTGTCGCTTATTCTCGGCTTTGCCGTCACTGTCGCAGTTTGGCGGAGGGAGGCTGTCTCTTGTCGCGATTTCATTTTACGCTCTGTCGCTACTTTTTGGGTCATGTCGCTTGTAAATAGAATTTACCCTGGCAGGGCCACGTTCAGCAACGACCCGCACTAATGTTGCATAAACATTACCCCCACCAGCAAATATGACTTTTAATCTGTGACACCACAGGCAAACCACCTTCTGATCGTGTGGTTGTTGTTATAGAATTAAAAAAACAATAAAATTGTAAGACGTGTAAACATAACGGCGGCTACGTACAAAATACAGTTTGAACGTAAATTTTCAATAGAAGTTCAAGTGAAGTGTTAACTTAAGGTGTATCCCTAGAGTAAATTGTCCGTGCGCAGCCTGAGCACTAGTATGGCGCGAGCTTTAAAATCCGCGCGACGTCCACGCAAAAATAAAACAAACATGGCCTCTTTGTTTCGAAATATTTCCCCCCAAAAACTTTATTAACCCTCTGCTGAAGCTCATTTTGCAAAAAGTTTGGTTAGTGTAGGTCAAACATTTATGAGAGGAGACAATGTTAAATTACACCGGTTACAAGCCACTATCGATCTCTATAAGAGTAAATTGTATGTAAAAACGAAGCAGAAATTTTCCAGACTTTAATTCTTTCGCTTCAAAAGTAGACAAACGTAAAATAGTCCAAGTGAATGGTGAATAGAAACTTTACAAGGAAAACAAAGAAATAAGTACGCTAACCCTAAAGGAAGCAATGTTACTGTTTCTGTCCTTTTGTTCACGGTCAGTGGAAAGATCTGAAAGATCGAGCCAAGTCCCGAACAACCACTCAAGAATGTCTTCACCGGCGGCGCTCCTCGGTCACTTCATTTCTCTTACATTGGATTTGATTAAGAAATTCTAGAAGTGGCTTTAAGGCAAGATTACAGCAAGTATAAATTTTTTTGTTTTGCTGACTCTATCACATTGTTTAAAAAACTTATCAGAAGAAAGGTTTCCTACTTAATTTGCATCCTGATCGAAGAAACCTTCCCATCGACGAACCAACATCCTTGTACATTTTCCTTTTCAAAAGTTCTTTAACGCACAAGGTGCACTAGAAAATGTTGTTGCACAAACAAAAATAATTTTTGAGTCACAGATTGACCCTTGACGAAAGAAATAGTAGATTATCCGTCGAGAACTACGGTCTTGTACGTGCAGCTGAGGACGTGATGTACTTTTTTTTAGATCGACGCCATCTTTTACAGCAGGCTTTTAAAGAAAAACTTCGCCGTCGAAATTATCCCTAAAGAGGAACAAGCTTGAAAAAGTATCCGGAAGTGGGCTGGCATTTGAAGATCTGCAAACAGTCGGTACAGCAGATTAGGAAATGAAGGCCTTATCGCGATCCTTGCAAAACCACCGTCTTCATCTCCGATGATCGCCATCCGCACGAGTAGTGACCACCACGGCTCGAATTTTGGCTACACTGGTTAAGTATTTCGAAGAAAACATCCAGTGTTTGGTATAAAATTGAATCCGCTATCTCGATCTCCTTTTTCAACTGGCGAGATATCACCGTAATAATACTGATAAACAGTTAGCTTTAACAATTGCTTTCGCACTTTTCGAAGAAATCACATGTTTTTAGCTATGTGCGTTATGCACAGGCGAGCGTTATGCACATGCGAGCGCGCGCGTATTTTGCTCATACGACCTCGAACCACGCAACAGCCTTAATCCAGAAAATGAAACTTGATAAAGGAGCCTTTTTACAGGGTGAATTTCGTGAACCAAATCGCAAAGACAAAGTAACTAGATTTCATTCTGCATCGTATGCTAGATAGCTAGGGTTATTAGTAAATACTCTAGGGAGCCACCTTAATGAATAAATTATCGACAGCTGACCAAAAAAAAAAACAAAAACAAAATCAAAAACACCCAACGACAAAATGTTTCCAAATACTTATGTCGTTTTGTTTGTCTTATCCGAAACTGTTGGATTCCCCGATAGTTCTGGTCGACGGTGTGGCCGACTGGAGGTATGAGCTGAGCGGCACTTTCTTAAAAAAAACTCTAGGGGACGCTTTGTTTGTATAACGAAATTTTCAGGAGACCTTTAAACCACAATCGCAAGCTTGGAAATAACATTTGAAAAATTCGACCTTTGAAAATGAAGGTAAGTTGGTAGAAAAACTTAGGGTATCTTTGACGAGTGAAACGGTTTTCCAAAAGTTTTTTAGCCTTTCCAAAACAAAATGGTGAACTGTCATCTAAGTTCATTAATTCATAGTTATTCTAAAGTAGAATGGTTATGAAACCTGTTAGACTCCTTTGCTATTATATGTTTTTGTTAGCTTTTTTGGACCCGATCGTGTACAACGTTCAAAAGAATTCCTATCAGTTTACACTTATTGACCAATAGAAACATTGCATTTATTTAGTCACATTCAGTCACAATTTGATTGAACAAACAAACAAACAAACGAAGGATTGTGCACTGTCAGGGAGCTTCCAACATAAACTAACACGGGACGAAAAAACGGATTTACCGAACGTCAAAGGTGAAGTCAAATGGGCGATAAAGGCCACCTTTGCACACCTTTGTACAACTTTCACGCGCGACAAATGTTTACCTTTGCTCGCGGTCAAAGGCGAGTCTTCAGGCGATAAAGGCCGTTTTTGTCACCCCTTTAACCCCTACCTTTGACGCGCGTCAAAGGTATATAATCATTAGCATTTGTACCCCTATCAAAGGCGTCGTCAAATTGAACAAGTTTGTGGTCTACACTCTATCAAAGATAAGGGTGAAAATATTTGTTAACAAAAGCTGGACTGCTTCGTACAAAAAAGCAGCTTTTGTTTTCTTCAGATCTGCGTAGTTTGTTTGTTTGCGCGGGCGGAGAGAGTTTGCAGCCGCGACAATTTGGCGCCAAAAACAGGGTGTCTTGCTTGGGTTCAGTCTTTCATCGTCCAATTGTTGAGTCATTGTTTTGCGTCGCTGTCATTACATGGTATATTGATCGATCAAGGAGAAAATGATCCACTCAAGATAAGACAAAGAAAAAATCACTTCGAAAAAGTACATATTCTAGAACATTTTCAAAAACAATTATAAAACAGCAATTACAATGATTACCCGCCCGTGTTCGGTATTGTCGTATAAATATCTTTAAAACAGTATTCAAATACAGCTTTTTAATTTCCTTTCTCAATATCAGTTTCGACATAAGTGTTTGTAGACGTAATTCATTGCATATTTGCTCTCACCTTTCAGCACCATTCAAGAGTGTTGTAAAAGTGTAGCGGTCGTATTTGACTTCATTTTTGACTAGTATCAAAGGTATGGTCACAGCCACTACACTTTTGACTTCATCTTTGACGTGCGTCAAAGGTAAAGTCAAAGTTACCAGCATATTTGACAACGAATTTGATAAGGGTTAAAGGAATAGCAAAGCATTGATTCATTTGACTTCATCTTTGACGCGCGTCAAAGGAGAAGTCAAAGTTGTTAACAATTTGACTTCACCTTTACCGAGGTCAAAGGAGTAAGCAAAGAGCTTATATATTTGGCGACATCTTTGACGCGCGTCAAAGGTGAAGTCAAAGCCAATACCATATTTGACTTAACTTTTGACTCGTGTCAAAAGTGCAGTAAATCCAATTTTTCGTCCCGTGTAAAGCACCGTTGTTTTGAACTTTGATGTTTGGCGGCTTTCATAACCACCCAACTAAGTATTTAGCAATTAATGAATGAGGCTGAGTATCTTAAGAAGAATTATGGAGATACGGCCTCGACGGATAACACCCTCCGAGATCTCCATAATTCTTCATATGATTCGAAAGCCGAAAATAATTCCTAGTTTAAAAATATAGCTAAAACATGTTTACCTCCATTGATCGCGATGTTAAGTTCATCTTCGATAGCGTACTTTTAGGGTTGTTCAGCTCCGCAAATATTCTCCAAATAGCAGATGTCGCTCTTCGAGTTGTCTTCTTGCTGTTCTTGCTGTACTCTTGAAACGAGTGAGATGTTCGCTATTTTTTGTTTTCACAACCAAAACAACTCAAGCTCGTCCCCAGGTCTTCTCGGTTAATGGTGCATCAACCTGCAAGAAAGCTGCACTTTTGACGTCATCGGTTCATTAATCTCAAAATTCTTCAATTATGGTGAATTATGCGTGTGCCTTTAGCTAATCAGAATCGGGGAAATATTTTGAATGAATAATAAGAGTAATAAATTAATTTATTATCCATATCTATTATATTTATTTTTATTATATTTATATATATATATTTTCATTTTATTTCGTTTTAGCTGGCACAAAAACCATGGTTACTGCTGGTTCCAAACTGATTTGGATTGTCTCAATCAAAAACCCAGCATAGTTAAGGGCGACGATCATGGCAACCAGGGGTGGTACTGCTTTGTGGTTGAAAAGTATAGGACACAGTTGGAAGCAAGAAAATGTTCGAAAGTGACGTTAAAATACATTTGTGAACAAGGTATTACATGTGGCAAACGGCATTCGGAAGAGGCCTTTCCCGATTCTGCTCGGCAACGTTTGAGCAACTTTAGGCGTTTGGAGCAACCTTTTTGCGGTTCTAGCAACCACGAACAAATTTTGCCTTTCTGAGCAACTTTTGAGCAAAATATAGGTTTAGAGCACATATCAAACACGAAAAAGTCAACTATTTCATAGAAAACTTCATTTTTTTTTAAATTTTTATAAATTCATTTTTGTATTTTTTTTTTCTTGGCCAATGTTAGTAATTATTGCGAAGAATGAAAAATAAAGCTTTTAATTAAAGTTTACATAAAAATATCAAAAAAAATAAGGTGGCAACTTTTGCAGTTTAGGTAGCTACTTTTTGGAGTTTTGACAATTTTTTAGCAACTTTCTGGCATTCCAGTGAGCAACTTTCCAGCATTTTACGCGCACAATCGGGAAAGGCCTAATTCGGAACGGATGGAAACGGAACGAACTTACTACCCTGGGCTGTTACAGAGGATTAAAACGATGAGTAAGATGTGGCATGTCACCCCATGTAAGGATGAATCCAAGACGAACCAAGACAGTCTTGGCCATGGATTCTGGATTCCATGCTTTGAAACTTTGAGCATAGTTATTAGAGGAGACTGGTTATGAAAAGCGGCAAACATCAATGATAAAAACAACAGTGCTGCAGTTTATGTTCAAAGCACCGTGAAAGTGCACAATCCTTTGTTTTCTGTTGGCAAATTGTTAGAGAATAAATTAATGCAACGTTTTTATTGGTCAATACAATCAAAATGATAGGAATTCTTTTGAACGTTGTGCACTTTCAGGTCCACAAAAACATATAACAAAGGAGTCTGACGGGTTTCATAACCATTCCACTCAATTAACTATGCTTTGAGTTACAGGTTCTAGTCGTTATCGGGATTCCGGATTTCTGAGCGGAATTCCGCGTTTTCAAAGCCCAGCATTCCGAATTCCACGAGCAAAAGTTTCAGGATTTCGGAATCCGCGCCGGATTACTTCATATGGGGCGCGGCATGATACAAACTTGGGATCATTATACGCGTCTGGGAAACTGCCCACCTACCCCTCCCCTAAGCCAACATTAACACTTACTTGTCATTTAGGGTAAAATGTTGGCTTAAGCGGGTGGGGGGAGGGGGGCTAGGAAACGTATAACGATACCAAGTTTGTTTAGTAATAACTTTAGACTGTTTGACTTCTTAGCTAGACGGGCCGTTTCATTTATTGATTCATTCACGTCAGCTAGAATGACAGGGGACTAAGGAAACATGTTTGATGAAAATCATGGTGGTTACGCGGAGACACTAATTTCTTCAAGTAGCGATAGTTATTAATACTTATCGTAGCGAGAAAATGTTTTATGGGTTATACTAATCTTGTATAAATTTATCCGTCAGATGATACAGCTGCATCGTTAAAGTGGTAACGCGATATGCTTTAGAGTTGGGGGGGGGGGGGGTGTTTAAGCCAACATTGAACGTCCTTCAGCTCCTGTATGTACGAGTGGTTCTGATTAGCCAGTTTAACGACCGATATTTTTATTTCTGTCTTGTAATAATTAAAAGTATTAAGACAAACTGCCAGTGATAAAGGAGCAGAATATCAAAGTGAGGCTGATTATCATGCATTGGTAAGAATTCATGTAGTTTAAACTACCAGTTTTATGATTATTTAGTTGTAGACTCTCCTGTATCATCAGAAACTGCATTAAAGGAAAGTTCTTCATTTAAAGATTCGCTAGCAACTGTAACAGCCCAAATACCAGCTACTACTTTGGTCGTAACCACAAAGACCGTGTCAGATAATTTAGAAAAGCATCAAACCTCAACTGTAACTCCAACAATTACAACAGCCATAAAGAACACAGTGGCGACAGCAACAACAAAAACAACAATGAAAGCAGCAATAAAAACAACAACATCGACAACAACAGCAGCAATAACAACGAGCAGAAAGAATGATACAGGATCACTAAGAACGCTAATTACTGATAACCCATTCTTATCAAGGAGTCTGATGACAACGGGACGTTTTGGTATAACACAAACGTTAGCAGTCACAATCCCATCTGTTATGATAGAAGCTTCTCGAACAAACTCATCTCAACCAGGGAAGCGAACTCCTGACGACATGGTATGTTCGCATCCACTCACTAGCCAATGTACCAGAGGCACCCAACGACGGTTTTTTCCTAAATGCATTGAAAACACTTTTCAGGCTATCCAGAGTACTTTTAGACCTTTAGAGATACATTCTAATCGGCGCTATAAAATTTACATCTGTTCGGTCATCCTAGGGCAATTTGAGTCTTTTCGTAATTACCAGGACTTCATTATTATCTTCTGGAAAATTTTAGGTGAGAGAGGAAGAGAGAATTTTTCTGATTCCTCTTTCCATCGCATTTTTGAGTCCGAAAATTGTAGGTTTCCTTTTTTCTGCGAAAAATAGCTTAATCTAGGGGGTAAAATGCCAAAAATTAAACTTCACAAAATCGTAGGGAATTTATCGGATAAGATTCGAAAATTGTACATGCATGAATGGAACGGTCATCTAGAAATTCTTAGTTTTCCCCAAGGTATAGAAAATTGTAGGCAATTTGTGCTTCTCCGAAGAGATATTTTACAGGAAACTGTCGTTGGGTGCCCCTGATGTACACTGAGTGATGTTCTAACATTCGGAAGAATTTTACGTAATAATAAGTGGTGACATCAGAAGCTAAACAAACTCACTGTCTGATATTCAAATTACATTTACCTCGTTTTAGTTGCAGCAATACTTTTCAGAAATGAGAGCTCTGAATGTCACAATGAAGGATTCAATACGGGTAAGATAACTGTAATAATGGTTTATACGAGTAGGACCAATCGTAATTTGGAAGGGGACGAAGATGGAGACCATGGAGTGAAAGCCGTCAGAAATCAATCGATAAGGACCACAAGCTTTGAATGCTTGCTGTACTTTAACAAATGCCGGCGTTGATCATGAATTGTTCACTTTTAACTAAACCGAGGGTATGTCACAGTGTTACTACCGCTGCGCATGCATTCCGTAGCTACCATGAAACCACGTGCTTTGAAATCTGATACTTTGTGAGTTATGTCTTTTGTAAGCTTTGCTTATGGAACTCAAAACAGTCGGTAAGTTTTCCTCTTGTATTTCGGACGTTGACTTCGAGCTTTTGAACACTGAATTCATAGTGGATTTATGTTTTGGTTGTAGAAAATCTAACTCAGCTCGTGCGTAGGATTTCCGGGATTGGATTTGAATTCGTTTGGAACTACTCTGACTTCATTGTAAATTGGATTTGACACAGCAGTTGAGGCTGTTGATTTATTTGGTTCTGGATCTATTCGGAACGTGGAATCCTTTGTGGAATAAAGATAAGGTTTATGTAAGGAGTTCGAGTTTTCGACTTAGTTTCGTAACAGTTTTCGACTTTGGGCCGCAACACACAGTCTCTCAAAGCATAGTTAAAGTCATCAAGGAAAAATCACGAGCTTTATATCATGAACACATAAACAATATCTACGACCACTTTGTATCACAAGCACCTAACAATATTTATCACTTCTCCTTAATTATAGGATGCAGCAAACATTACCAGTGAACTTTTCAATTATATAATAAGCAACCAGTCAGCAAAGAAGGGCATTAACATATTGATAGCTACTCAAGAACTGGAGTCATTTGCAGTTGACTACGGCAAGATTCATTACCAAGCTAATGGAAGTGCGATCATTTCCCAAAAATATTTTGGTGGGTAATGAATTAAAGGAGAAGAGAAGAGGTTCAATTAAGCCTTCTGAGTGCATCTTATTTTATTATTCATTTAAAATATTTCGCCGTTTCTGATTGGCTCTAATCCCCGACTAAGTCTTAAATTGGAAGATAGGAGCAAATATATACCATCAAACATAAAAATCGAGTTTCTTTCTGTTAAATGATCATTATAACACTCAGCTTAACAAGAAAAAAAAGCAGACTGCGGTAATAAACATATTAAGTCTTATATTGTATATATCGTATATACTGATGTCGAAAGCAAGAAAATTACTAACTAAAGGAGAGTCGCTCGCCGCCACGGTGAGAAATACTTTTATTACCTTTGTTTAAGGTATGGATATTCCATTAGTTAATTCTTTGGTTTATTTTTTATTACGTTTGCAATAAAATGCGTCGTGTGTGTGTGTGGGTGCATTTATTTAGTCAGTTATACTATTCTCTCTTAGCGATGAAGATCCAACGAGTATCAACGAACACCAAAGGAGTTATCAGTTTCTCTTCAAGCGAAACAAATTTCTCTGGAGGAGAAGATAACGCAAACATTTCTATACCCTCAGCAATTTTCCTAGGAGAAGGTATAAGATTTCGTGCTTTTGATGTATTGCTGATACCTTCTTTGTTGAGGTTGTTAATAGTTTAAAACGACCGAAATGCCACATGATGATAACAACAAAAGCAACAACAACAACAACAATTTTATTTGTATTCAAATCTGATTGGCTATCAAATGCCCTGATTTCAGCCTTAATAGGACAGTAGGCGTCATGCCTAAGTAATTGGACAGTACGCACCATTAAGCGCGCTTGCTGCCACCAAAAGGTCTAGGAATTTCTTGTGTTTTGATTAAAAAAAAAAAAAAAAGAGTTTGTTAAAGTTATGATTAATTGGTAACTTCATGTCGTCCAATTCGGTCTGTAATCATATTCGTGATAAAACAAATTGCACTCCCCCTGCGCGGTCATCCGATTTTATTAATCACGAGTATGATTACAGACCGAATTGGACTCCACTCAGTCCTGTCTAATGCACGGAGTCTCTGTAGGTTCAGTTTATCTTCAAGAACCTTTTAAAGCTTCTACGTAGCCAGGTTTTATATTGAGTTACGGCGCAAAAACAAATAAATTAACACAGAAAATTCAACGAATTTTTGAAGCAAATTCAGAAAATTTCGATAAATCGACGGACACGTACCTCATCTTGCATGACTTCTGACCACTGAATTACCATGCGCGGATGTACATACGAAAACCATTATAAATTTTGTTTTTTAATAACTAACCCTACTCTAGACAAAAACTCCATCTTTGCCAAAGAAGGCGCCTTGTGATCTTGAAGATTCCTTGTTCTTTTTTAATTGGTCAGTTTATCATTTTGATAAAAAATATAATATGTTCATGAAGTAAATGAGCAAAATGCAAATAATATAATTATTACTTAGATGCTGTTGTTGTGAGCATTCTTTATGATGGTATCGAGCAATGGTTCTCCGATAAAGGAAAGCTGGAGAAAGAAGGGTTAGTTTCTTTATTTTTGGTTTGTTTCTTAGTAATTTATTCATCAGTCATTCCCTTTCTGTCGACTTATATTCAGTACTTATTTATTGTTTTCCTCTCATATATAAGGTAATATATTAAATTTTAAATTCTAAGTTAACTCCAATCTCAACACAAGCATAATTATATAGCTTAATCTTTTTTTTTTTTTTTTTCACCATATATTATGTATAGGAGCATTTTTCCTATTCAATATATATCGGGGTAATTGATGAATAGTGTATATTTTAACCCAGATCATTTAGATAATATAAGCAGTTCGAGTTAAGACGATGGCGATGATGCTTATAATAACCGAGTTTATACAGTATAGTCAGTCTGTATAGTTCACGTCCACTGATCTGGAAACTTCAAGTGAAAACAGTTTACGTTAATTTATTCTTTTATTTATTTATTTTTGTTGTGTGTTTATTTTTTTAGTCATTTATTTCTTTATTTATTTGTTTATTCATTTCAGCGAAACTTTAACTAACCTCCGGCTTGGGGGACGAATCATATCCAGCACTGTAAATCCAGCGCCTTCTGGTATTCTCGAGGAAAACGTCACCATTTCATTCCGTTACGAAAAGGTACATGAATGCTTACAATAGGTAAATACGTTCTTGTAAACAAAGAAGGTTAGAAAATGATTAAAAGTGGGAAGCAGGTTTATATGAAAATTGGTGAAAGTTAATAGCTGGAAAGAAAATTGCCACAAACAGATAAAGCTCACAGCCTTATGTTTTTCCTTTAAATCGTCGACATCGAGAGCTTACGGTTTCACATTAATGAGTACCTAGTTGGACGAGCGCTTATTATTACGGGTGACCATCTTGGTTTCAAATAATATAATACTATCAAATAATCCGATTTGTTGTTATTATTATTAATTTCACTCTCTTTATTCCCCTCAGAAACTGCAAGATGAACACAATCCTTACTGTGTGTTTTGGGACTTCACCCTCAAGTAAGTAATATATAGATTTAGTCAGGGTTAAAAGCGAAGCTCTCATTCATTACTATAAATACTTATAGTTCACTCAAACCAAAGTAAAATCGTGTAATGCTAAACGGCCAAGGCAACGATGACAAAAAAGGTGTAATTGGTAAAAACAACAAAACCTTTGCTCGTGCAGCATACTTGTTTTGTACATTATTTTCTTTGTCGTTGTTTTGAACGACTACATCGTGAAACGTTCTAGTAACGTTTTATGGAGGAAACTGATGTCGTATGTTCTCATAGAAAAAAAAAATGTTGCTTCGTGTTCCTGTTCGCTTTCTATTTCACTGCCGCTCATTTTCACCTTACCCTTCGCTAAAATTTCTCATTTTCTCACCAACGCTTTAAAATTTTCATGCTGTGTGGCTGACGAAGCTTTTCTTATTTATTTTTATCTCTGGCTCTAGATATTTCTCTATCTTCTGTCTCGCTCTATGCTAGTTCTTTCTCTATTATCCACGTCAGCGTAGACATTAAAATGTAGTCGAAAGAAGACTTGGCTTTGTTGTCGCTTTTTCTCCCTGAAAGTCCAGGTGGCCAAGATGACCATAACAAGGACGTTTATCATCAAGTTAAACGCAGGTTGTAGCCTCCACACAAAGTTAAAAAGGTCGTCGTTCCACATTAATTGTTTACCCTTTGGTGAGGACGGACGGGCGTACGGACTCGTGACTAGCAAAATTTCTCGGATGCATGGATAGCCAAATTTTCTTACTGTCTTTCTTTCTTAGTTTTTGAGTTGAAAACTCGGCAAGTTTACTTGTTTAACACAATCCCTCGTCGGCTGAAACTTGGAAAATCTTAACAAATATGCTGCGTAATTTTTTTTTTTTTTCACTTAAGCTGACATTTAAAGCGAGAAAAATCCGGATTTTGGAAGTCATCGTTTTTGCAAAACAAGTACTGATTACGCGTGCAAGAGTTCGTGTACAAGATAAGAATTTCTTTTTTAATCGGTGCCATAACAAAGCGTTTTTTCTCGGGGAAGTTGGTTTATAAAAGCAATAGAAAACGTTTTCCCTGTATTTGCATAGTCTGATATTAATACTGGAGGGGTTGGGAGAATTCTCGACAGTTATGCAAACCCTAGACTTCGTCTCGGGTTTGCATAACTGTCAAGAATTCTCCCAACCCCTCTCGTGTTTATCAGAGGCACCCAACGAGAACATAGTTCAAAACCGCTTAAACATAAAATTGTTGAACGTATTTTAGTATTTAAAGGGAAGATATAGGCATATTTTTATCCCCTAAAAATTTTTCATCTGTTCGGATTTCCTAGCTGAAAGTCTAGTGATCCGAAAATTATAGGGATCAAAACTTAACTTTTCGAAAATTTCAGCCAAAAAAAAGGCTCCCGAAAATTCTAGGTGACCTTTTTAGGGTAAAAATAGGCAATTATACCATTTTTTAGATGTTCGAAAATCCTAGGAGAGGCAGGAAAGCAAGAAATTTTACAACAAATGTTCCGAAAATTCTAGATCTCAAATCGTCTTCCGAACAGATATTTTTCCGAAAATTGTGCCCCTGGTTTATATCAGGCTATGCAAACACGGAAAACACTTTCTATATATTGCTTCAACACTGCACTAGTAATTTGGACAAGCAGTTTAAAAAAAGCGGCCTTAATTAGATTTAAAAACCATATATAACAGTTGCCTTTTGATCATGATACCTTTTGATCATGATATTTTCTCATATTTTCTCTTATCCTTCAGCTTTGAATCTTACTTTTTTAGTGTAACAAGTTCCTATTTTCACACATTGTTATCACCGTTCACCAAGCATCTTTCTTTCCCTTTTTTGACGATAACGTTTAAAAAAACTATACGTTTTCCTTTTGTTTTCATCTCAGATCGAAGAACAACGGTTCTTGGTCATCTGTAGGATGTAGGTTGGTCAAAAAATCCAATAGGCAAGTCACTTGCACTTGCAATCATCTCACAAACTTTGCTGTTCTCATGCAAGTAGGAGAAAACAAAGCCAGTGAGAAGGTATCCCGCTAGTTTGACCTTTGACAGTTATTTTAACAATTAGAAAGGATGGTTTGTGGACAAAATAAATCCGGAAAGCGTTAGATGGTGGGAACGCTTCTTACGCCGCTGTTTCAGTTTGTTTTCGCTGCTGCGGATAATCACGAAGACGACGACCAATAGGACGGTGCATGTAATGACTGACAAGTTTTATTTAGCTCGTGTTATTTTGAGTAGAAGTGCTGAAACATAGTTGCAATTGCTCGATTCTTTAAAATGAGAACTAATATGTTAATAAGTTACGCATATTTTCTAATAACAGATTATGTTAATATATGTCTAACTTGAAAATAATTCCCACCAATAATCTGTTGATGTTGTCCTTCAGCAGCATGATTAGAAAAAAGTAAAAGTATTGTTCAATTGAGGCCCAAAACTACTGCTTTAAAAAATAAAATTGGCACCCAAGCTTTCCCCGATCAATGGCATCATCAGGGATGATTCCCTGATGATGCCGTTGATCGGCGAAAGCTTGGATACCAATTTTATTGTTTAAGACAGCAGTTTAAGGCCTCAATTGAACAATATTTTTTAATTATTTTTTAATTCCCAAAATTTTATAAGAATGTCTGAGCGGGGTTTGCTTATTAACAGCCCAACACAATTTTACCTCTTTCTACTCTCGGGATGTGTTCGATCGATTGTATTTCGAAATAGAAACAAATGACAACATCTAGAAATCTGCTTGAAATAAAATATTTCGATGAATGTAGCATTCAGTTGATCTAAAAATCATGGTAGTGAACAGTTGTCAAAAAAACTTTTGCGTATTCTTATTCCGGCTGAATACGAACGATATTAAACAAAAATTATTAAGTGAGAAAATAAACACAAACATTTTTTTTTTGTTTCCCAGCAAATTTCAAGAGACCATAAAATAGCTTTGGAAGTTATAACTTACATTGGGTGTACCCTGTCACTTGTTGGAGAATCGCTCACTGTTGTTGCATATTGCCTGCTCATGTAAGTTGCATCGGGAACAGCTTAGCATGGAAAAAAGAAGTATGGTAATGTTTAAAATCAAGGCTTGCCAGGTTGCCTTTGTTTGCACTGTTTAGGTTCCTCCCCTTTCTTCTTCATCCGAGTGTTATTTAACAATTATTCCTCGAGCCCGAATGGGCTCTGAGGCAATATAGCCCATGAGGTCGAAGGCCGAATGGGCTATTGACTCAGAGGCTATGAGAGCGAGAGGAATAATTGTTTTAGTAAACTTCAACTAGTTGGTAAAAAATATCG